CCACCCCCCCACCCCCCACCCCCCCACCCCCCCAAAAAAAAGTCAACCAGTGAACCAAAAACCATCCCGCAAGAGCAGTGTGCTATCATATCCTTTTTCCGCACTTGCAGCCCAACAGGCAGCGATACCACCGCCAACGAAACCACCACCCGCACCGCAACGCAGCACACCAGTCCTCGCGGCCATCCTCCCTAGCCGCACCCCGTGCCGGTGCCGCCGTGCCCCGTCCTCGCAGCCCCCAGCCACCACCACCATCGCGGCTACCGCGTGGCAGCGCCACCACCACCGCCACCACACCCCATCCTCGCACCCTCCCTGCCACCACCACTACCCGCACCGCTCGCGGCCACCCTCTCTATACCGCCTCGGCGCCACACCCACCTCCACCTGCGCCCCACCTCCTGCAACCAACGCCGGTCAGCGGGGCGAGCTTGCCCGCGATCGCCCTCTCTATAGCCGCCACCACCACCCGCGCCGCAACACCACCCGCGCCGCACCGTGCCGCACCCCGTCCTCTTGCAGCTTATCCCTTGCCGCCACCACCCTGCGCTGCAATCCACGCGGCCACCCTCCCACACATCCACACTCCCTTGCCGCCACCCGCCGTGCCGCACCGTCTTCGCACCCTCTCTGTAGATACCGCCACCATCCGCGCTGTACCGTGCCGCGCCCAGTCCTCGCCACCACCCCGCGCCGCACCATGCCTCCGCGACCAACCTCCCCGGACGCCCAAGACTCGGAAGCCTTCACCCGCTGCGCCGCACCGCGTGGCCATTCCGTATCGCTGCCCGCCCGTTGGGAAATCTAAAGGAGAACCCAACCCCAGAGGGGTTTTTGGGAAAAAAGAAACTGTCATAGAAGTTTAGGCTTTAGGGCTCAGAGTTTGAGTAGAACTGGAGCTGAACGCCTGTGTTAGATTAGATTACAGGGTTGTTTAATGGGACCTTGTCTCCAAGGCGCAAGATTAAAGGGTTTAGAGTTTAGGGTGGATTAGAGGTTCTGAAATCTGTAGACAAAATACCTTGACCCCTGAGCCCTGCTCGCGCCGTGTTCCCATAGTCGTCCACGGCATCCACTGTGGCGTTCGAAAGCCGCAGGGCGGAAACTAAGTCCTCCGCGGCAACGTAAGAGGAACACGATCGGGGGGGGTACATCAGGATTTATAGGGAAAATATTTGTCATCTGGGTTGCTCTGGAGGAACTTGTTCTAAGATACTGCAATGAGGAAACTAATTGAGGAAACGCGATACCATTTATTCTATGCTCACATTCTGGTAATTTGATTTAAGTTCCTTAACATCATCCCGGCAAATAGTCAGGCTTCTACGTGATGGTTCAGGCGTTAGGAACCGACCAGCTCTTGTTAGTAGCGGGACCTCAATACTGGAATGGAAGCTGAATCCAACCTCCTTCTGAACTTTCAGCCCGTAGCTACTAACCCTAAACCCTAAGCCCTAAATCCTAAACTCTGAACCCCAAACCCTAAACCCTAAACTTAAGCCTGCACAGCAATTCCAGACCTTACACCCTGAATTCTACTTCCAGCCCCAACCCTAACCATCCCCAAAAAGAAGCAAGGAACCCTGCAACAGAGTCCAGGCTGTAGGGTTTAAGATCTAGGGATGGAGACTACTGTTTTTCTCCAGGGGCCGTATCTGGGGGTTCCATGTATGTTGGGGGGAGAGCTTGATGTACTGAGCTTATATAGAGGTTTATATTGGGATAATATCGAGATGACGGAAAAGAAGATGGAAGCTGCTATAGTCTAATGGGGTTTATATGAGCAAGTGAAGGATGTGTAAGTCCAGATGTCCTTGTGTCCGGCGCCCGCTGCCTGCGCAGGTGGCAAGCTTTCCCTTCCATTCTAAGGTTGGAAGTATGGGCCCATTTAAGGTTTAAGGTTTAGGGTTTAAGGTTTAGGCCTTTTAGGGGAACTCTAGGGACCCTTAAGGGTACCGGCAGGATCTCAGGGCTTGAGGGCCCTGCCTACCCAGCTGGCACCTATGTAGTTCCTTTTGGGGTTTGTTATGGCTTTTCCTTGGGAAAGGACTACAGTAGACTAATTACATAGGAGGTTCTGATAGACCCAGAAGTTAAGTAATGCAATCACCTAAGCCAGCCATAACAAAAATCCAGTCTTGCTTAAAGCGCTTTGTGGATTCAGATGGGCTAGCTAGACATCATCCATTTTGTCGCCATTTGTGCGCAGTCAGTCGAGCCTTCATATTGAAGACTAGACATCACCGGGATATGAACCCTGCCGCTAGAGGACAGCAACAAAAATGATGGCAATTGGACTCGAAGACTGCCGCTATAAGCAGACATCCTCTTGCATCCCATCAAGTTGATAGAGCTGTTCAGCCTCTAGCAGCCTCCAAACACCTTGACCCCCAACCCCCAAACACGAAAAAGCTCAAGATCCCATGCTTGAGGCCTCCATCAGCGGCGTCCGCCCGCCGTGGCCCTGGTTTGCGACATCCTCAGAAGCGGTCTACAAAATACCTGTCTACAAGACTGGGCCAAGGTCTAAGATATAGAGCTTGGGATCTGAATTTAGGGTTTAGGGCTCAGGGGTTAGTTAGGGCTTGGGGCTTAAGGGAGGCTCAAGAGATGCCAAGAAGGGCTCGAAGTAGCGCAGGTTGCAGCTGTAAGAGTTACATTGGCTGCCAGGTACTCATATGTCTGGTCGCCTTTATGTAGCAGGGTTTCTTACAGCCGGGGTTCTTCATAATTCTCAAGGACCTTCAAAGAGTCCATACTGTGATACGTTTGAAAAGAAGTTTCTGAACCTTACAACCTCAAGTCAAGGTCTCCAAGTCAAGGGAAGGGCTTCCAGGGGTATACAGTGCTTTCATTATGGTGGTGTTTGATGTGTCCTGGAAATCCTTGAAGGGCATCGGTAGCATTTGATAGGACTTCAGAAGATGCGCTGCATGGATGCCTTGTAAGCCCTAGGCCTAGGGGGATTTCGCTACACTTACAATGCTCTTCAGGAGGCCAGGAGAAGGCTGACATAACGGGCAGCTTCTCAACACATCAAGAACTACCAAAGCTGAACAAAAAAAGCACTTCAAGGAGCCCATGTTGAAACACAGCACCGCCAAGAAGAACAAGAAGCTTTGAGGCCGCTAGCGCAACATTTAAAACAAGTGCTTTACTTCTTTACTCGGCACTTCACCGCCAAATAAAAAGCAACCAAGGAAGCAAGCAACCACAAAACAAACAAACAAACAAAATAACAAACAACCAAAGAAACAAACAAACCAACAAACAAGCAAACACATGAACAGCTCTTGGCTGCTGCTCCAAGCCCTGTGCGGGGTCTGCGCCACTTCGAAGAAGCGCTGCCGTGCTTTGCCGGAAGCCCTGGCGCTGGGGGGAGGGGGGCAATCCATGAAAAGGTTTCCAAGACTTAGAGGTACAGTACCGTTAAAGGGGGTTATGGGAGTTCAATAGGAATACATAGGGTTAAGAGTTTGGGCTCTGGGGGTTTCCCCAAATTAGGGGTACAATTTTTTCCTTATTCTGGTATATTGGGGTCTATATTGGGGTTCCACCTATTTAGGGAAACTACCATTTAGGGCTTAGGACCCCAGGGGGCCAGAAGGAGGGCTGAGGGTTGCGTTGAGAGATCAGGGTGGAGGGTTAAAGGGTTAAAGGGTTTGAGGATAAGATGAAGGGTCGGCGTTTAGAATCAAAGGTTTTAGGGCTGAGGGTTTTGGGGCTTCGCGGTTAAGAGTTTGAGGGTTGAGGGTTGGCAGTTGAAGGTTGGCTTCAAGTTCTTTGGTTTATGGTTGTTCTTGTTTAGGGCTTAAGGATAACCAAGGGTTCCAGGTTTAGGGTTACGAGCAAAGGCTTAGGGTTTCAGGCTTTGAGGATGGCTAGGACAAAGGGCAGGGTCATGAAGCCAGCGATATGACATCTACTCTGGCAAGGGTAAACCTCCACTGCTAGTACTTGTATTGCGATGATAGCAGGCATTTGAAAGGTCTAGTAGTCTTCATTTTCTTTTCCATTATCCCAATATAACCCCTATATATACTATAGTAGTGTCCATTTTCTTTTCCAGTATCCCTATATAATCCCAATATACTAGCAATGCTGGGCCCTCCAGGTTGCTGTACTTCAACTACGCACGCAATCTGAAGAAGCTATGCCCTCGCAAGTGACAATCACATATCTCATATTAGTAGCCTGGAATAAGGACTGGCAGACATGTGGTTCACTCCTGAGTCCCGGAACCTCAGAAGAAGATCACGAAAAAGGCCCAATAAGGGGGCGTACGGTTTTCTGCCTTGACCTTGAAGTTCCTTTAAGGGGCTTGTTGTAGGGTCTAGGGAATAGCGTTAAGTCTGGAAGAACTCCTTCATCTTAACGGATGGCTACATGATAATCAACACGATGTTGGCACTTCGCTGAGATGGCTGCCGCAAACGCCTCCAGCCAAGCCACATTTAGTCACCTCCCACCTAAACCGCCAGACATAATGGTTGGAATCCATGACTTGCAAACTTTATAGAACAAAGCATGGAATCTTAGGGCCAGATTCAAAATGCCCCTCAAGGAAGCGACGATGCCCTGTGCATGAAAACCCAATGCTTTCGGAAGCTCCAGTCACTCAGAGTTGCGGACTCTATTCAAAGACCCACCTTCGCAGATGCGTAAATGAGCGCGGTGTTTCCATTCTCATCCGTCGCATCGATCAGATCCGTGTACCCTGCAGACATGAGCTGCAGTCAAACCCCCTCATGGCACCCTCGGGGTATGGATGCAAAAGACCACAGAAACGCAACATATAACGCGGCGAAACAACTCCATCGAGTTTCTCACATGGGAGACCTTGTGCCATCATGTAGGGTACTTATCTCTGTATGCCTCTTGAAATCTAGCAAAACACAGTCACCTACATTAGTCAGAGATGATCCCCCCAAACAATTAGCAACTTGTGTCACGTTCAGTTGCAAGGGTTTGGATTCGCATGTAAAGCTTGCAGAGTGTATGGCCAGGCCGAAGCTATTTGCCTTACTAAATGCACAGCTGTTTTAAGATCTTACATGTAGGGATACTCTAAACCCTAAATGCACAAAGACAACTCCAACATCCTAAGTCCAACCCCAAACATTAAACCGCGCAAATAGAACATGAGTTGCATGCTGCGAGGCTCAGGACATTGGGCTTCTGGGTATAACCATATAACCATGTTGGCGCATCAAAACCTACGTGACTAGAAACAAAACTAAACGCAAAGACTTCTGATGGTACAGTCTACTTGGGGTCGTGTGGAGCAATATTGAAACTGCATGGGATGGTCCTTGCCTGCTTCTACTACGAAACATTAGCACGAGGCCACCGTTCTCACTGCAATCTGAGATCCATTTTTTGAGGCGCCTTCTGCCACGCTATAGTCTCACTGTCGCGTCCACAGCCGAGCCTAAACCAACAACAAATATTTGTGTATATGTGTGCAAACTTGGGGTACCATATATGTCGCGATGCAGAATGACAAAACGCGGCCGCTTGCCCCACACATCTCCCACCAACCTGCTGACTGAAACACCAGCCGAAACATGCCTATGCCCTGTACCATGAGGCTACTGTATTGGGGACGCTGAACATCAAAGAACAGAGGCCTACTTTTTGGAGATGTACTTAGCAGGTCCTGCATCCTGGGGCTGGTATTGCGATTCTGCTGTTTCCCTGACCCCCACCCTACTTGCGAGGCCCTGTAAGTTAATCCTGAGCTTGACAGCACCCACTTTCTACATAAGGTAGGTTCATGTTTACGGCCCCAAGTTGGCCGTCCCATATGTACACTTGCCAACGCTCCCGAAGGACACCTAAGCACACCCACCAAGACGCATTACAAAAAAAAAACCGCCGACCTGGATGTGTATCAACCCCTCAGAACTGCACCCGAAGCCCGCCTAAGTCTTGGTTGTACAGAAGCCCATTGACGATCTGCCTCAGAAGGGAACAAGTTCAAGGCTGAAGCTGGAACCCATGTCTCTTTGCAAGCATGTGGAGGATTTTGGTTAGGGGAGTTTGAGGCTTGCATTTGTAGGCCTTAGACTAGAATTTGAGACGCCCTCACACCCGCCCGCTCCTCCTACAACATGCGTTTGCACGCCATGTGCTGATGCAAGCCTAATTGGTTTGTGGTACCAGGAAGCCCCTAGAGGCAGCCCCACTTTCTGCCCACACCTGTCCCCTTAAGGAACCAACCCAAAAAAGACTTCTCCCAATAACAGCACCTTGGCCTTTCGTCCACGCCTGAACCTGTTGGGACCTGCAGGAAGATCTTGCTTCAAGCCTACACGCAAGCCCTAACACTAAACAACCCGTCCTATCAGACCCATGATTCGTTCCTGTTTCACTTCTCCCCCAATGGACACCCAATATATACCCTAAACCCTGAACCCTGCCGTCACATCACACAACAGGCAAAGTAGCGGGTAGCCGTCATGGGTGGCAAAGATCAGCGCTGCGTCTCCGTAGTGCTGGACCTGAGCTTTCAACGGGCCTTTGGTTGAGGGCTTAGGGTCTGAGGTTAAGGCTTAGGGTCTAGTTTAGCGCCGTTGGGTTAAGGACTCAAATACAGGGTATTAGGTTTGAGGCTTGCAGTGTGTGTTTCTCCTTTCTAGAAAATAGGGCGTTGTGGTTTGGGTTTGGGGTTTAGGGCTCGTTCTCGTAGAGAGGCTGACTCGGAAGAAGCCGAGAACAGTAAGAGCAGCCAACCATCTCTCCAACAACCACGTCAACATGCTGTCGAGGCAAAGAAACAATCAACATGGAGGTGAACCCTCTAGGTAAGCATTGCATTGACAGTCCAATGTCTCAGGAATCTCCGTACCTGAAATAGCTTGGATCACTCATTTCAAACGATTCGGCACTAGCGGCGACTAGGACTTCAGCGCGCAATTTATCACTTAGCAGGTTAGGGTTGAAAAGTAGAAGGTTTGGTGCATGGTTCATTTGCAAAACTGCTCAAGAATTTAGCGCCGAAAATGGTGTGGGGCACCTTGGGTTGAGGTGTATATTTCCAACTCTTTCCCGTTCATTGGACTTAATGAGCGTGGAGATATCGAATCTTTCCTTGACATCTTCGGGAACCTGGCTCCAATCTAGAGGGCCCGCTGAATGCACAAAAATGCAAAAACGCACGAGGACCTTTAAGTGCCAGGAGCTATTAGAACACTTCCTTAATGCCTAGCTAAATCTATGACACTAGAGGGGATGAACTAGTATCGTGACGTGATCAAATGAAATCCGTCGGAAGACCTCTGTGGAGATGATCAGAAGGCCCTATGCGGATTTAGATAAGTACAAATGTTTCCAACACCTGTGTCCCCCAAATTTCAGCAGTACATCGTTGCCCTCATTACAGGGTTTCTGACAAAGGGTCCAACATATTGGGCAACGCCCTTCTGGAATCCAAGACCTGCAGCAAACGGAAACGGGTCCATAGACAGATAGATGAAAGTGCTGGGAAGCGGGCGTACTGATCCAAGTAGGTCGGCACCTCCAGAATCATCAAAGGTCGGTAGAGTCTTGAGGTTAAGGTAGGCCCTCTACTCGTATTCAACAGCCGGAGGGTGATGCAATACATGTGGCTGGAAGGGCTCAAGCCCCCATGGCTCTGGAAAGTCTGCGGTCTTTAACAGCACATTCCTCAGCTGGATTTCATATGAGTAGCGTTTTTTTGTGG